GGGATCAAACTCAGGACCTTGTGCTTGCTGGGCAAACACTTGTTCCACTGAGCTATCTCCCCAGCCCTTAATATGTTATTTTCTTTGTACACTTCTGTAAGAAACTCTAAACAATATTAAAACTCTGGACTTTTTGACCCTGACCTTTCCTTTTATTTATTGGCATTTTCTGTTGAAAAAATGAAACAAATATGTCTGTATAAAGCTAGTCAGCCTAAGTAGTAGATGCACCATTCTCAAAAAGTTGTAAAAGTGTCTGGCAAACTCAGTTGTTCTGTGTTCTTAAGTTTTTCCAGAGCAGCTGCTCTAAGACTCAGCCCATTTTGCGGCTGACGTTGAGTGGTCACTCCATGGAAGGAAGATAAAATCCTTGCCGACAGATGTCCCTGCCTGCTGCCCTTACCTTGGGTCTCTGAGGCTCTTGATGTCTTTAACTTGGCTTGCTGTTCATGCTGAGGCCCTGTGCGGCCATGCTGCTTATCCATCCATGTGAGGAGCAGACGTCTAACCCTGGCCTGTGTTTGCATTCCTTTCCAGAGTACCCGCATCCTGGAGAGGACTGGTTCCTCTAGCACTGAGCCCTCCGGAAGTCGGCATTTGCTAGAACCTGAGCCAGTTCCCCTGTCCAAGGTCAGTGACAGACGCAGTTTTTGCTCTGGTGGAGTCCTGCCTGCCTAGGGCCGAATGGACTGTGACTAACTTGTATACCTGGCTCCCCTAAGGGAGCTGTGACACCAGTTTATGGCATCTCTTCCAACTTCCTTCTACCTGAAGTACAGTTTCTCCGCCTTGTGTAAGGAGCTGATGAAAATGTAATTGGACTTGCAGGGCTGCCTACAAAGGGCTGTTATTTTTATTTTTTTAAGGGAAAAGGAAAGAGAAAGTTTTGTTATTCCCTGTAGGAGAGATAAATAAATATTTCTGTGCAAAGTAATGGGGGAAAAAAATCACTGAGTGAAGCAGTATTCCTGATAATAATAGCTGCTGTTGTTGCCTGTTCTTTGCATACCTGGTATTGTGCCGAGGTATGACACCCATCGAACATAATTCTTGGAAACAACTCCATGTAGATATTTGTTACCTTTTAAAGAAAGGGAAACTTGGGGGCCGGGGAGATGGCTCAGTGGAATAAGTACTTCCCTGGCAAGTGCAAGGGTCTGAGTTCAATCCTTGGTTCCGCAAAAATAAGGAGAAGAAGGAGAAGGAGAAATAAAAGGAAACCGAGATTTTTCTTTTGTTCTTTTTTGTCCAAGTCAAAAAGCTTAAGTGATGCAGCAGAAATTCATACTTAAATTTGTCCAGCTCTGCAGCCAGTACTTTCTTGCTGTCTATGACCTGCAAAGTAATACTTTCATGTGGTGGCTTTTGCCAGCCCCAGATCCAGTCTCCTCACCTCCAGGAGAGCACAGCACATCATTTATTCAGACTTTGCTGTCTCATGGGAGACAGAGTTCCTTCCCTTTCAGCCTGCTCTTCCCTAGATTAGGGAAGCATCTACATTCCTCCTGTCTGAAAGGTGAAGCCAGTCAAGGAGGTGGTGTCTTTCTGATCCCCACCCAACCCTTGAGATGTTCCGTGGGCTGGCTCCCCTCTCGAAGAACTCTGAAAATAGAGTGCATGTGGGTTTTTAATTCACTTATAAAAATAGCCCTTTATTTCCAAAGATAGTTCACTTCTAAATATGTGTAGCTGATCCTTCCATTTGCATTTCCTAAATGAAACATAATCCATAAAATGAAGAACACTTTACTATCTTAGCATCATGGGGTGTAGGCACTTGTTCCTTTTTATACTTTGAAGACTTTATAAGCTACTGAATTCATGCTGTCAGACAGGAGTGGGTTGCTAAGCTAAGGAAAAGGGGGCATTACCAAACTATAAACACAATTGAGTGGAAATAAAAAGTGCCTGACTTCTATTTGAACAGCAAATAGAGAATGAACACGTGGTAAATATAATTCATATATCTCCTTGAATGTCAGTTCACTCTTATAGTTAGTAAAGAACACAAATAAATAGAGAGCAGTGGAAAAGGCAGCTGACATTGACTGAGGGCCTATTCCGTGCCAGCACTGGATTAGAACCTGTGACCTCTCAATTAGCCAACCAGTTCATTGACGTCAGTACTGATGTTCTTGTTTTACTATTCGTGGAGACTGATTTTTCAAGCATAAAGGCCTCAAGTTGGTCAAATGTTAGTTCCCCACAAAAGGAGCTGCTGTTAGCCTAGTCACAGTGGCTGGGGTGTGCGTCATCAGCCCGACTAGGAAGCTTGGGTAGGGGACCAGCAACATCCGCTTTTCATCAGTTCTCCATCTGGTTGCCCATTTGGATCTAGCTGCAGGCCAAACAAGCCTTGGTTGTGCTTTTGAATTAGAAGACACAGAAGAGGCTTGGGCCCCCAGGACCTGAAGGCCAACCTCCCATCCAGGTAGCACTGAGGGCCAAGTCAGGTAGCACCGAGGGCCAAGCCAGGTAGCACCGAGGGCCAACCCAGTTAGCACCCAGGGCCAACCCAGGTAGCACCCAAGGCCAAGCCAGGTAGCACCAAGGGCCAAGCCAGGTAGCACCTAGGGCCAACCCAGGTAGCACCCAGGGCCAATTCAGGTAGCGCAGCCTCCTGGGCACTGGGTAGCAGTAGAAGGATTTTGTTCAAAGTATACATTTTCCTTGCTCAAGAATCATTTCAAATCCTTTGCTTGATGCCTTCACCTCTTAGAGCCTTTTTGTGTAGTACCCAGTCTCCACAACCACCGCCAGCCACGTGTGCACGATACACACCCATGGGATACCTCCCTAGGAGAGGGGTGCCCCTCTTTTTTTTTCAAGTGACTAGGCTTAAGCTATTATTAGAATTTTTGTTTGTTTTTATTCATTATTCTTAGAGGATAAGTATTTTGAAAACTTCTATAATACTAAAAATGTCTGTATATCTGACTTAGTCTAGCACTAACATGATTATGCTTTTGGACTTTTTTGTTTCTGTTTTAAGTACATCTGGGAAAATTGGAGAATTTTAACAAAATAAATATCAATTGAAATTTCAAAAGAGATTCTTCATTTGTCAGAAAGATACTTAGTTTTCTAGACCTAATTTACTAAGGATAGTGGAAAGAATTTCAACATAGTACATAAAAGAGCACAGAAAATTCTGTCTTGTACTGAGATGAGTTATTCATTTCTTATAGGACTTGTTTATAGCATTATCATCAGCATTTATAATTGGAACAGGGAGAGTTGTTTGCTTTGGTTGTATCCTCTGTCCCTGTCAGCTTGACAGCTTATTTAATTGTAAGAACTATATTAGAATTTTTTCTCTTTCTTTTGCTAAGCAGGGAAATATTACATCAGAGAAGATGAAATCATTGATTCAGACTGCAGCATTTATGTTACATTTGAGCTTTTTGCTTTTTCTATCTTTTCCCTCTTCAGTTAAATTCCCACTGAAGATAAAACTACTCTGATAGTAATCAATAGTCATAGTTGTAGAGAGACAAGCTATTACTACGTTCTGAGTTGATTTGGGAAAAAAAGAAAAGAAATACATTTATACTGATTGTTAAATGTTTCCGTTTGCACTTGTTATATATAGTATTTTTCATCTTACACGCAAAATCAAAGTTAAACACTAGGCTTCAAACAAGAGTTAGCAGATATAAGAATGTATTCCACTAGAGATACTGCCCGTGGCTGAAGCCACTACAAGGAGACTGCAATGAATTCTATTTATGTGTTCTGTTTATCCAATATATTTAAACATATATGGAGAGTCATTATTTGTTTAGATTTTATTTATGTGGTACAGGGTCTCACTACACAGGTTGGACTCATAGTGATCTTCCTGTTTCAGCCTCCTCAGCGCTGGGATTACAGGAATGTGCCACCAAGCCCAGTTTCAGTGGCTGGCTTGGCACACCCCAGGTAGGGCCAGCATGCATGCTGTGCCAGGGATTGAATCCAGGTCCCTGTGTTTGCCAGACAGGCACTTAGACTGTTGAGCTATCTCACTAGCCTGAGAATTATTAGTTTTAATTTCTTAATTATATCCATCTTTTTTTCTCTTTTTTTGGCAGAACCGGGGATTGAACTCAGGCCCTTGTGTTTGCCAGGCAAACGCTTATTCTACTGAGCCGTCTCCCCGGCCCTACATCCAACTTTTTTTTTTTTTCTGAACCGGGTATTGAACTCAGGCCCTTGCGCTTGCCAGAGAAGCGCTTATTCCACTGAGCCATCTCCCCGGCCCCTTACATCCAACTTTTTAAAAGGACTTAGTATAAATCTGTCATTTTGTGGAACAGAATCATTACCTACCTTTCTGGCAAAAGTAGAAAATTAAAATGCTAGCCTTTTTATAAGTTGCTATTTTTCTTACCATCTTAACAGTATTCATAAGCAGTTCTCACTTGTTGAATTGCAACCCCACATTAAGAAGCCTACTTGGTACTAGATAATGTGATAACATTACTTGCTTTTGTGTTGTCCTAAAGAAATATAGTTCCTACAGCTTGAAATGATCTCATCAGAAACACTGTATCTCATTAATAGTTTTGACCAGATCATTCACAGTTTCTCAGAATTTTCTTCAAGTAGAAAACTCAATCTTGGGTTATTAAAGATCCTTTCCAGAGTCTGTCACGCTGCCGCATGAACACTGGCAGGCGTGTTTCTCCAAAGAGCAGTAAGTAGTGTCCTCCTCAGGGATGACCTCGAAGATGAAGAAGTGATAGCAGTCTCGGAGAGGCTTTCTTGGGGTGGGTTGGGGTGGTTGGGGTTTAGTTAGGGAGAGCAGAGGTTTGGTATGGGGTGCAGAGGACTGTTCAGGGGTCAGGAACGCCTCCTAGCTTTACCAAGTTTAGAGTAAAGCAGCGATAGCCACTTCTCCTGACAATAAAACTCCATACAAAGTCCTTTCCTATACGTGCTCCTTAATTTAACACTGAATAAACCTAACCTCAGAAAAAGCAGGCAACAGAAATAGAAAGCTGAGAAGGATGGTGAATACTCAGTCCCTGCCTTCCTGGCTTGTGGCACACCAGTGGTGGGTGGGACTCCTCTTCCTCTGAGCCTTGTGGGAGCTTCGCATTCCCTAACAGGGTTTGGGCAGCCACCACTGCCTTCTTGGGCCAGCGAAGCCACGGGCCCTGAGATGAATTCCCTTGGCCCTTCCTGTTGATCCCATTATCCTGTGGACTAATGCTGCTTCAGACAGACCCAGCCTTTCCAGAAGGCAACTTCCCACGTCAGTAGGGGGTGGGGAGGGGACTGATGCAGAACACCCACCTTTGCAAAGCCCAAGAGGGAGCAGGTCACCTGAGAGGGCTTGTCCCTGCGCTGTGTGCCCCTCCCTGCCCTGCAGACAGGACGCCGCAGTAGTTCAAGGACTATGAGGAGCCTGTACCTGCCTCAGAAGCCAGTCTGCTTACTTGTTGAAGGGCGTGCTGCGGTCCAGGGTGTCATGCCTGAGCCCTAGAACACGGGCTGCTCTGCTACTTGCCAGGTCAGTGGTTATTATGGAGATGCATAGGTCCCTAGAAACCCCTATTCCTGGGATTTTCAATCCTGGCTGTTGTAGAAGCCAGGTAGATTTGCCAAGCCCAGCGTAGACAGTGGCAGATTGAAGACAGGCATCTTTTTTTTTTTTTTTTCGGAACCGGGGATTGAACTCAGACCCTTGTGCTTGCTAGGGAAGCGCTTATTCCACTGAGCCATCTCCCCGGCCCGGATTGGTATCCTTTATACAGACTAGTGTCACCAAATCTCTATAGGCATTCAGAAAGTCTGGATATGTAAAATCTAATAAAGCATGTCTCATGAAAGAGGAAACTGTACTTCTGGGCATGATGATGAATGCTTGTAATTTGGAAAGCCAAGCCAGGAGGAGCATCACCTCGCATTCAAGGCAAGTCCATACTACACAGTGAGTTCAAAGCCAGTCTAAACTGCAAAGTGACACCCTGTCTCAAAAAAAAAAAAAAAACAGGAAACTGATTCAGTTACTTTTAATGAGAATGATCAGAGTGTGGGCTCTCGAACTAAGGTTCCTTTTTTTAAAATTTACTTTTATTTAGATGTTGAGGATTGAGATGTTGAGGATTTAGGTGTTGAGGCCCTGTTGAAACCCGGGGCCTTGCCCACAGATGATAAGCACCCTGTCCACCCTGGGCAGTCTCCCAGCTTGTGTTTCCAGCTCGTGGCCTTGCACACTGGTGTGGCTTCCACAGGCCCCTGAGGCGATGTGTACCTTGAAAGCCTGGGCTTTCCGGTGTGCATCTGATGACAAAGATGTTCGACGGGCACTTGGAAACGCAGCAGCCTCTCCAGAGAAAACACGGTCACACAGCTGTTCCTATCTGTTAGTAGCAGGTTGCGAGCCATTTTCAACAACTGCAGCCTTTCCATTTGAGTGTGTAAGCCAGCTCTATGCACTCATGGAACATTTGCCATCGAAGTGGACACATTCTGGGGCTTACTTCGAGAGTAACTGGGAAAATTCATCTTAAACATCTTGGGTACAAGCAGTCAAAATTCCTTTCCAATCCACATAGACAGGGTGGCTCCCATGGATCTCCGATGGACACCCTGCTTGCCTCCAGATCTACTGGGAAACTCATTTTAAATTCAATTAAAGTACCTCAGGAATTTAATGTTAGGATACGCTCCAGGATTGGCTCTCTGCTTCTGGTAGATCAGCTTGCTCAGAAGTGACTTCTACTTAAGAATCTGTTTCCAGAGTACTCTGAGGCACAGAAAATGAGATTGTTTGTTTGTTTGTTTCTTTGTTTTTCTCTCAGGAAGCTGACAGCTGGGAAATTATAGAAGGGCTGAAAATAGGCCAAACCAATGTCCAGAAACCAGACAAACATGAAGGCTTTATGCTGAAGAAAAGAAAATGGCCTTTAAAGGGCTGGCATAAGGTAACAGTCTGATCAGATCCAACTTCTAATCAACTTCATGAAGAAGATCTTACTTATGATTAGGTGGGAAGCCAAGACTGTTGTATGTGGAGGCCGGGGAGATAGCTCAGTAGAATAAGTGCTTACCTAGCAAGCACAAGGGCTTGGGTTCTGCCAAAAAAAAAGACTGTTGAATGTATAAAACTAGTTTTCAAAACCTTACTGCAGATTTTCTTCTCTTTTTTTGGAGCAAAGAATCAAACTCAGGACCTTGTGCTTGGCAGGCAAGCGCAGTGCCACTGAACTCCACCCCTGGCCCCCAAACCTTGTTTTATTTTATTTTATTTTTTATTTTTTTAAAGTTTATTATTTTATTTATTTATTTCTGTGGCTGGCTCAGCCTGCCCGGGGGGCAGGGCTGGCATGGCATGTGGTACTGGGGATTGAACCTTGGTCCCTGGACTTTGCCTAAATTTTCCTAAGCAGACACTTTAGGCTGCTGAGCTATCCCACCAGCCCCCAAACCTTATTTTAATCATATGAGTTACAAGCATTATGCCTATTTAGTCTAAGGTCTGTAATATATATGTATAGGGGAAAATATTTTATGTAATATTTAAAGCCCAAATTATGTATCTTACTGTCTGACCTGCTTTAGTATAGATAAATTCTCATTTTTATAAATGGAAGATTTGTTTAGTGTATGTATGTATTCCATTGGATGGATTTATACAGTATATGCCACCATTATTAATCCACTTTCTTATTGCTGGATATGCAAGATTTGTCTAATTTTGTCTGTTATGATGTGATGAACATATTTATAACTGATTATTAATTACTTCCTTGGGTTAAATTCCTACAAATATTGTGTCCAGGAAAAACAAAATTTGGAAAATCGTTGATGCTGATGGTTTGTTTCTTGACCTTTAAAGTATCATTTATTCTCTCCCCTCTCAACATCCTCAAATGCAAGTAAGTATGCAGGGCTGCAGGGCTATTGAGATAGCTCAGCAGACTAAGTGCCCGCTACGCAAGCTCAGGCAAGCACAGGGACCACGGTTCAATCCCTGGCACCACATGCCATGCCACCCTGCCCCCAGTGCACTGAGCTGGCCACTGAGACCCGGTGTGGTAGCATATGCCTGTATCCCAGCTCTGGGGAGGCTGAAAGTAAGAGTATCACTACAAGTTGGAGCCGCATGGTGTTTCTGGACTATGCCTTTGAACATCTTGTGGAATAAAAGTGGGCTGCCCTTTCTCCTGCTGTCCAGTCCCTGTCCAGTCCTGCCCTGAATGGATTCAAGGGTTAATCCATTTAGCTGTCCAGTGCATAAGCAATTTGAGTCTTGAATATGTTTCAGTTGAGATTGTTTCTTCTCATACTTATTTCTTGTCCCCTAGAATGTGTTTTAAAGGGTCATAGTGGAATTTCATGAGTTCTAAGCAGGGTAACCTTGTACCTAGCCACCTGTTACCTTGGCGGATCTGAGTGCCTGAATCACATGAAAACATTTGAAAACATTTCCACACTGTCACTTTCCAGCATCAGAAAGAGACCCTGCTATGGGGAACTACGGGGGGGTCTGGCTCCACTGTGTGAGTGGAACCTCGAACTGTCCTCTCCTGAATGCTCATGAAAGGAAATCCACAACAGAGAGTTCCTGCTTCCTGTGTGCTTGCTGAAAATTACTACACCCCATTCACACTGGACCAGAGCGACCTTGGAGCTAATGATGAAATTGCCCCCCCACAAAAAATTTCTCTTTTCTTTGTTTTGTTCTGCCCCAATGCAATCTGGAAGTAATCATTAATCTCTTTTGGAATGCAAACATTTGCTAAATCAATAATATAAGCATATTGCTAAGGTCACTTAATTTTTTTTTTTTTTTTTAAATTTCAAGGAAGGATCTACAGAGTATTCAGAGTCTCACTACTAGATCAGACTCATAGTGATCCACCTGTTTACAGCCTCCAAAGAGCTGGGATTACAGGTGTGCGCCACCATGCCCAGTCTCAATTGCTGTCTCAGTGCACCCTGGGGGCAGGGCCAGCACGGCAGGCCTGGGAATCGAACCCCTGACCCCTGCACCTGCTTGCAGGGGCTTTAATCTGCTGAGCTATTTGGCCGACCCCTCTTAAAATTTCAAGGATTTAACTTTTCATTATCCCAGACAACTAGTTTGTATAGTTGTCCTGAGCATTTTCAGAAAATTTCCATGGTACAATATCCAGGGGAAATTCAGGACTTTACCTCCAGAGTAAAACTTTCCTGCAGATTTGTATAGAGATCCTCACAGAATCTTTGTAACCTAATTCAGATTATTTTTACTCCTATTTTTTTTTAATTTTTTTTAACATTTTATTTTGTGTGTGTGTGTGTGTGTGTGTGTGTGTGTGTGTGTGTGTGCCCAGCTCAGCCCACCAGGGGGCGAGGCTGGCTGGCATGTGGTTCTCGGGGATCGAACCGCAGTCCCTGTGCTTTGCCAAGCTTGTTCCAAGAAGGTGCTTTAGACCACTGAGCCATCTCTCCAGCCCCTTTACTCTTATTTTAAAAACATCCCACATGATTGGGGCATGGTGGTACATAACTATAATCCCAGCACTTGGGAGAATGAGGCAGGAAAATTGCCATCAGTTTGAGGCCAGGCTATATAGAGTTCAAGGCCAGCTTGAACTAAATAAGGAAATCCTGGTTTTTTTTTTTTTTTTTTTTTTTTTTTTTTAAAAAAGCCTGGTTCATTTAAAAGGTCTTAAGGGCAGGCCAGGAGAGTTGCTCCTTCTTAAGAATAATCATGGTGAAAAACTTCCATCCCCAGTAAGTTGTGAGTTAACAAGAAAACAACTCTGGTGGATGGGTTGCATGAACCTCTAGCTCTGATATCCTTGAGATTTAATAATACACTAAATCCTATATTAAATTGATCAAAATATTGATAATTGCCAAGCAACTTTAGACTCACACTTGAGAATATTTTATGTATGTTACAGACAGTAACTAGGGGTGTTTGGTTCTTGCAGCGTTTTTTTGTCCTGGATAATGGAATGCTAAAATATTCAAAGGCACCTCTTGATGTAAGTAGCACACAGGATATGTTTCAAAGATTGAGTTAGATTTCCGCTGGAAGTGAGTAAACACTGGGGTTGTACAAGCCTTGTGCCATAGTTACTAGTTTTGTGCATGTCTGTGTTTCTAATATTTAACAAGCTACTAAACCTGCATGTTCCAGAGACAGTATGTTTTATGCATATACTCGAGATAGCAGAAACCCTCAAACTAGTGCATGAAGATTTAACTTAACTATTTTGATGTATGTTATTAAAAACAAAAGCTTATTTTGTTCTAAGATTTATACTGTATCTTTGACTTACAATTTATTTAAAAGACATTGTATGATATCTTCTCCTAGTATTAGAAACTTTAAAAAATATATTTCCATTTTCTGTTGACTTAAAAAAAAAGAGGTTTGTACCTATGTTGTTTATTTATTATTTCTTGCCTATATCTTGTAATATGAGAAACTACTTTGGCAGTAACAATACACAATGTACTAACCATTGTTACTCTCCTAAAATCTTGTTTTGAGATTTTGTACCATTGTTTTTATTTTTTTTTCTTTAAAATAAAAATAACTGATGTCAAAAAAAAATAAATACAAAAAAAAGAAAAGTAAAAAAAAATAATAAAAGCTTAAACCTAAAAGTGACATATTGACAAAATCTCTGTTTTGCTCTTGGAAAGTACAAATATCCTTTTTTTTAAACCTCAGTGAACTTTTCTTGATGTGCTTTTTTGAGGTGTAGAGCAAGCTTTGTTCTTGTTGCTGTCCTCTTATAAACTGTCTTTTAAACTTCATTTCTATTTTATACAGCCTTTTGTCTTGAGAATCCGAAATTACTTTTAATATTTAAAGTAGTTGCTTGCATGCAAAACAGGAAAATCTCCCTGCTTGTCATCCTCTGTGGGGGAAATAACGGAAGGCTCAGATTTGTTTGTCCCCATCTCTGCCACTGAATCAGCTCTGTCCTGGGTCTGAGGGGGGCGCCCAGGAGGAGGAGCCATCTGCTTCCTGCTCTTAGGCCACAGCTGCCTTCTTCCACCCTAGCCGCTGTTTTTCAGCTGACTTTTCAGGGATGCTGTGGCTCATCAGTCAAAAGTTGACCACAGCTATTTTAGGAGCAACTACATATTCACTATAAACTGTGCAATCTCGAATTACAGAGAGCTCACTAGATTATGGCAAAACCAGGAATAAAATGAATGATCTTACTCATTGGCCTTAGTGGGAAGTCACAGCAACTTCAGTTGTCCTTAGTTTAAGGACCATAACTTGGGAACCTTAGCCATTTTCTCTTTATTAAAGAGGTCTGCTACTCCACTTTTGGTAGAGAAGTTAAAAACATGAACCTCAGTTAAATTCAGTGGGGAAACACTTCAGACCAAGTATTCTTCTAGCCTGTTCACTAGCCTTTTGATTTCAGATTCAGAAGGGGAAGGTCCACGGGAGCATAGATGTCGGACTGTCTGTCATGTCAATTAAAAAGAAGGCTCGGCGGATAGACCTTGACACAGAAGAGCACATCTATCATTTGAAGGTGAAGTCACATGGCAGCCGTTTCTCTGTCATTAGCAGAGGAAATAATTTGCGTGCACCTGTGGGGGATACGAGGCTGGCATCACAGTCCCTGCTCCTCTTGCTCATGGTTTCAGGTGAAATCTCAGGACTGGTTTGATGCCTGGGTCTCCAAACTGCGCCATCATCGCTTGTACCGGCAGAATGAGATTGTGAGATCGCCGAGAGATGCTAGTTTTCACATTTTTCCTGCAACCTCCACAGCTGAGTCCTCCCCAGCTGCTAATGTTTCTGTTGTGGATGGAAAGGTATGGCTCTGCTCTCTAAAAATCAGCCTGGAAATTGCTTGGAAAGTTATGCAGACACGTCGCCGTGTCTCTCTTGAAAACACTGCAGGTAGAAGGTTGGCTTTGTGAGCTAGCACTCGGAGGACAGCAGCAATGTTGCCCTCGGAGATGATCACAAATATGGATCAGGCAGAAATGGGAATCACCAATGGCATTCACAGTTATTTCTCCTTTCCAGTGAATAGACTCGCTGCTGTTCTGCTGCACCTTCTTAGGAATATGGAAAAGAGAGCAAGCACTTATTTAAACAACACTCAGCAATCACATGCGTCCCTAGTGGTAATAAGATCTGGTTCTACAAGTAAAGTTTGCTTTCTTGCTTGAGCTGTGACAACATACGTGATGCAGAGAGAGACTAGTAAATTCCCTCACAGAGCTAATGCAAGTGAGACAGAGAATAGAGAATGTGACGATAATACAAATAGTAGCCTATTCTGGTCACTAGGTACTGTGCTAAGCAGTCGACACTCATCCATCTCTACTCTTTCATACAACCAAAGTGAAGAGATGACAAAGAACTTGAATGGGAAAGCTGGCAGTGGAGGTGCATGCCTTTATTGGCACATGCCCTCCAGTATTCAAGAGGCTGAGGCAGGAGGAGTACAAGTTCAAGTCCAGCCTGGGAAATTTAGTGACTTAGCAAGAGCCTGTCTCTAAATTAAAAAGTTTGAAAAGGGGCACTGAAGATGTGTCTCAGGGCAAGGAGCCCAAGCTTAACCCCTTCTACTGCAAAGAAAAATCATTGTTTGTCTGCAAGAGGCATATCCATTCCAGGATCCAACCCCATGTCTCCATTTCCAAAATCAGTGTCCTTTCCATTGTATTAGGTGCTTCATAGCAAGGGACACCAGAGTGGTTCCTTGCACTGTAATAAGAGTTTGTTTTCAGTGGAGCTAAGAAAGTATAGGTGCTGCCCGTTTAAAAGTCAAGGTTAAGACAACAGGCAGAGAGGCAGCTGTTTCTGCCTTTGATTCAGTAATTAGGTTTCTGAAATGCAGGGCCCAGAGGTGCAGCAACTTCGCACTTGGCACCTGAAATTGAGGACAGAGACAGCTACCCAAGGATTGAGTTTAAGAACGTTTCCATGGAGACCCTGCTTCTCCGCTTCCTTCCATAGGCGTATACATAGCACATAGAGCCAGGTTTTTCCTTTGTGAACTGTTACAAAACTCCATGAAGAAACTGCAAGACTTACTGAATTAGATCCAGTGAAACATTACTTGAGTCAATTTTTTGTTATTTTTGTGGAAATTACTGCAGTAGTTTTTTTTTTAAATAAAATCCCCTTTAATTGTATTTGACAAGGCCCACAGGCCTTTTATGATTTCATTCTGGTTATACTCTTACTAAGGACTGTTTAATTTGTCTTTCTCCTGGAAATCAGACATCTGTTAAGCTTATTACCAACTAATTCTACTGGAAAAAAAAATTTTTTTTTTCAGTACCAGGGATTGAATTCAGGACTTTGCACTTGCCAGGCAAGTGTGTATTCTACTGAGCTATCTCCCTGGCCCTCTATTACCAACTAATTCTGCAGTAGTAGGAAACATCCAGTCAGGAGACTAGGAAGTTTGTAAGTTC